TGCTGAATATTCGTCCGTGACTGTGACTTAAGGCTCGGTGATAACCAGATTTCAATTACGGAAAAAGTCGTTAGTACTCATAAGTTGACGAAAACAGTCCTTTCCAGGACTGCCACTTCTACACTCAGCAACTTTCAAAGTTAAAAACATCCACCTAGTAACTAGAGTTTGCTCATAAGTAATACGTCTTAATGTGTAACTTGGTGCAAACTATTCGCCTTCATGCTTACTTTTGGCCACATTCTTTCGCGGAAAATGATTTACCATTTCTGAAGCGATCAGTGAGTGATTAACAAAACCAAACTCGATAATAGAACGATTAAAATTGTTTTTCACTATTTCTTGTGATTTCCCCATGGCTCACACGTAAATCATTATGGACCTGCTCGCTATTTACTTATCGCGATATTATTTCATATAATTGTTCATAAATGAATCCTTATGTTCTCAGAAATTCGGCAACCCTCTTTTGGTCAGCTTCAAATATATTAATCTGGTGGATATCTAATATTATTGACTCGGCAACAGTAAGATTACTCACCGCGGAAAGCCTATGATTGTAATATGACTTTGTGGCTAGATACGACTACCTATCAATATTAGTTAGTACAAAACTTTCAGGTGAGTCAATTATGTCACTAATTCATTAAAAAGCTAGTTTCAAGCCCTAATGGAAATAAAAACTTTCGAAGAAGAAAATTTGTACAAGAACGCTTACCCTCAAATTCCCGCTACTCTTCTTTTTATATGTAAACCTTGATGACGCACCATAAGATTTTGTAACTCTTGCAGCAGGTCCACGAACTTGCTCCTTTAACACTTGCGAGCCATTGACAAGATCAATTTCGACAGTGTAGGTTTTCGATTTTGGGAGACCTTCAACTTCCAACGTGGTCAAGTCTACGGTGTACTCAAATGCTGCATGCAAACTGTAATCAATGGATTCTTTCTGCGTACCAAGAGGCTCTCCGCGAAACATGGCTCCATTAAGTGCAAATTGATGACCCAGCTCTTTCCATTTCTCTCGTGTTACTGTTTCAGCCTTGATAAGTTGTGAGCCTGGCTTTCGGTCGTTCACCGAATCATTGTGATTGTATACTTCACCCAGGATTTCTGTGGTGTCTCTTGTATAGATTGACGGATTAAGTTGATGTGAGTGCCAAATAGGGTCAAAGTCATAGCTCGGTACAAAAAACAATTCTGGATTTTGCTGCTTGAGATAAAGATGAAATTTATACCTCTCCACTGCTTCAGTCAATAATTTCCTATCCGCGAAATGAGGTAGGGACGACTGATAATTAAAAACCCTCTGTCGAGCACAAGCAGCCTCGATGTCATACTCAATTCTTGATTGGAAATCTGGCGCGTCGTAAACAGGGGCCGTCAGGTCTACTTTAAAAGGTTCTTCAGGATACAGCTTTTCCCATAGGGCCCTGGCCTTTAAAAGTCCTTTGTCACGTTGCTCACCAGCTAGTAATTTATGATCCACCAAAGTGGCGACAATTTCATTACAGTCCCTCTGGTAACTGACAGGGGACAGCATGTGCACATGCCACACCCAGGCGATGTCAAGTGGTGCTGCAATGTTCAAAGCAATGAACCATTTCTTTGTACGAGTGGTATACTGAGCCAGCAAAGGCAGCCACAAAAGTTCATATCTAAAGGAAAAGGAAATGGTTAAGGGAAGAGTGCTTCTTGTAACTGGGAAAATAGCAAAGCAGTAGATTTCATGAAATAAAAACAATTGATTGCATTCGATCAGTCTTCTCAAGAATATTCCTTGTTTGGTACTGTCAATGAAAGGAACAGAGCATACCTTCTGATTGCATTTCGAACGTGTGGACCGGCGTATAAACTTGGATAACCATCAACGATTCGTAGGAACTGGCGTTGGGCAAGAGCGGCTTCCACTAAATCAATACCGAATCAAAACTCCGGACAGAACGTCATGGCTTATTTGAAGGATTACTAAAAAGGGAGAAAATGAAAAAAAAGCTAAGGTTACGTCGTCTAAAGATATAAATGTATGATATACATGAAAATTAGAGCAATCACAAGTCAAGAACTTGTAAAATAGTTCATTCTAAAAGGAGACCTTAGAAAAAAAGGGGAAAACTATTTTGAATTATTCAAATTATTCAACCAGCGAACAATCACTCAGAGATGCAGAGCATTATGATGCAGCCGCAGTAAAATTTTTCGCAAATTTAGGTGACAGATGAAGTCATGATCAAGATGCTTTGGTCAAACCAGTATCATTTTGCATGAGAAGCATACTTATAGGTGCTTTATGGAGACATTTTTTAAATATCTTCGTAGCAAGAAACTTAACTGACTCGATGTTCAACCTGATTTCACGCGGTAAATACATGAATTAAGTCTGTAAGAAAAACCAGCGTTAAAACAGTAACTGATGGCAATAAAAAGACAAACGTTACCATCCAAATTTAGATTGCACTGAGCTGCACCATAGTTTTTTTTCTGCAAATAATCCAGGCTTCCCACAATCAACTGCCAGTAACTTTTTTCTGTCGAGCTTTAACCACTCGCTATCGACGTGGCTTGGAAAGGAGGCACCGTAGATCTTTGCATGTATTCCTACGTCACCTTTGCAATTGCGTGACTCGATCTTGCCGATTCACCAGAACCTTATCCGTCGATTCGTACAAGAGGAATAGACTTGTTGTTTGTGCACTTCACGCATTGCTTTTAGAACGAGGAACACTTTCGTTGTTTGTGCACTTCGCGCGTTGCCTTTCAGTAGAGTGAAGATTACTGTTGTTGTTTGTGCACTTCAAACGGTACTTTTAGAACGAGGAATACTCTTGTTTTTTGTACACTTCACGCGTTGCTTTTCAGTACAACAAAGATTACTGTTATTGTTTGTGCACTTCACGCAGTGCTTTTTGAATGAGGAATACTCTTGTTATTTGTGCACTGTTTTTTGTGCACTTAACGCGGTGCTTTTAGAGCTGGGAATACTCTTGTTGTTTGTACACTTCACGGAATGCTTTTAGAACGAGGAATACTTTTGTTGCTTGTGCACTTCACGCGGTGCTTTTAGCACGAGGAATACTCCTGTTTTTTGTACACTTCGGGCGTTGCTTCTCAGTACGACAAAGATTACTGTTATTTTTTGTGCACTTACTCGATATGGAGGTGTGGACACGTTGATACAGTGTGTTTTTTTCTGCACCAAAACACATGGCTGATACAAAGTGTGCTGGTCTTAAAGTGACGTTGTCTAGCTATTCCTGAAACAACTTGAGAAGAAAATGACAGCTTTACCCTCAATAAATGTTCTAAGTTTGCTTTAAGCGCCTTAGATTTCCGAAATCACTCTTTCGACCTCCACTACAATGGCTTGATAATTCGCAAAAGTACATGATGTCACAAGACCAATATCGTATGAAAATTGGAATTTGTTTTTAATACTGCCCTTTACTCGACTGAGAGCTCTTATCTTCTTTAAAAATGTGAATCTCCTTTTCGTTTGCAGAAAGACCAAAGACCTGAAAGACCAAAATATGTTCTAACTATGAAAATATCTCTCCTGAGACGAGAAACTCGAAGTATATGAAAAACTAGTCAGCCATAAAATCAAACATTAATTCTTTTGTAGTTTGTAGCATATGGAGGTCTTTTGTCGAGTGACAGATGTAGCTTTACAAAAGACCCCTCGATAATTGTCGTTGTTTCCCACCCACTCAAGTCACTTAATGCATGACTCAGCTCTAACGGATACGTAAACTGACTGAGATAATGACCTCTTGTTTTGCTCAATTTTCGAATTCCCAAAACCTTCAAACTCCTGTTTTGCACAATTTTTTCGCAATCTTCAAATCAACAACGGAAAAACTTGAAAAATGGCTGCGTTTACAGGTTATGTAAAATACTTTTACTGTAGAGTACAAATAGCTGAACATAGACAAAGTATAATTTTCCGCTTTCTAATGATTTATCGTAAACACCACGCAATGCCAATGACTAGTAAGAGTTGAACGATACAGAGAAGGCCATGAAGTGTGCCCCATGAGATGTTTGAAGACGGATTGTTCAGTTTTAATTCGAAGTCATTACTCAGATATCAGGGAGCTTAGTAAAATCTCTTTAATTTGTTTTTCTAATGTCTCTGCATTGACTTTCAATGGCTCATTTTCTTTATAAATTTTACATGTTCTAAGAACAAATATGAAAGGAACTGGAAACTGTTTTTGACCCCGAATCGATTAGGATAGAGCGCCTCGTCGTTCGCACAGTGCTCCTCGATTTATTTTCAGCGACAACTTCGAAAACATTCATCTACTGTTATTAATTGGTAAAGTAAAGAATAGTACAAATACTAGTAAAACCTAGAATCGTTAGTGAATAACAAGCAAGAAAAATGTCTTTGTGCTCCTCGAATTATTATTTTGTTCTATCTTAATAAATCATGACTCCTGATTAACCGACAAGTTAGCATAACATCTATCGGGTAACAATCAACTATAAATTACATAATTGTGTGTTCTCTACTTTGCCATTAAATCGAGATACAAGTGGATATTTTATGTTATTACATCATATTTTTGCTAATGTCCAAAAAAAAACGTTGTATCCAATTAATTAAGTCTTCAATTTGAAAATGTACATTGGTACGTTCGCATTAAGTTTTCAGTCTTAGACTTATACATCTAACTTAAGAGTATCCAAGAAACTCTCGCAAAATCTTGCCGAAATACGGCAAAGTACCTCGGTAAATAATTGTGGCAGTCCCACTTGGAAATGACTGCACGGAGGTTAAAGAAAATTACTCAGTACTATGCGCGAACCCAAAGAAACACCCGACTCGGTTCCTGCGGGCATGTTCCCTTCCTTAAAGATATTTCTCTTACTTTCATATTAAAACAAAGTTTCATGCAGTAAGGGCAGGTCATAAAAATCCCTCTATTTTCGAGGACTTATCGGTAAGTGCCTCCGTTCCTCAGCCTTTCAGTTCATCATTAGTTAGTAAACAGGCCTTAATCCCCACAGCCACAGCCACAGCCACCACATCCACCACATCCACCACTTCCACCACTACCACCACTTCCACCAAATCCACCACATCCACCACTTCCACCACATCCACCACTTCCACCACATCCACCACTTCCACCACATCCACCTCTTCCAGCACATCCACCTCTTCCAGCACATCCACCACAGCTACTGCATCCTCCACAACCTCCACATCCTCCACAACCTCCGCATCCTCCACAACCTCCGCCTCCACAAGCATCCCCAAGTTTGTGCTTAACATATGCGTTGCTCGGTACAGTGGTGGCATAAAACCCTGCTGCGACTACCAGCGCCAGGTCTTCGCAACGGATTCTGCGAGGTTTGTCTATCTGGCTTGAAGCCATAACTGATGGCTTCGTGTGATCGGTCATTCTTGTCGAAGTGTTAGGCTGACACAGAAGATGAAGGACAGCTATAGAGAATCCCAGTGCAATGCTTTCTGGTACGGCACTTACTGCGGATGGAAAAGAGATCACTCCAGTCCGAAGGTTTACGTTGACTATCTCTTTTTTGCTAAGACTTACCCTGAAGGTTTCTCCCCGTTTCTTCACTCTTTTCCACTCTTGTGCTTCGGACAATGAGAAGAACTTGATGCACAAATCACCCGGTTGGCCCTTCACACCAGGCGTTCCTTTAACACCTGGACTACCTTCAGACCCTTTTATTCCAGGTACACCAGGGACACCCTTTACAGCTCCTTTCCATTTGCCAATGCAGATGCCCCAGTCTTTGCAACCTCTAATCAATATGGCTCTTACCCCTCCCGCCTCATTCAAAGTGCAACAAAAACTAGGCTTGCCGACTTGCTCCTTCGTCGGAAGGACATTTCCGCGTAGAAGGTGCGCGGTGCTAACAACCTCATCGACGTGGTTCATGACCTCTATGGAGGAGAACAGCAACTCAGCGGAGTGCATCACTCGGCAGGTAAACGCTTCTCGTCCCCTATAATCCAGTAGCCGATGCATTGACATTTCACTAGAAGCCAGGGTTTGGTTCAAAGAACAAGGCGAAAGGAACAGTGCTGGTGAGCTCAAAATGGAAGCAGCATCTCGGACTGGGCTGAAATCCCCATTTGGCATTACTGTGAAAATGTATTCATCTGGCTGAGGTGGATGCACCACAGTGGTAAACCGAACAATCAAGTTTCCAGCAATGGTTAACTCGTGCGTTTCCGGTTGAGGCACCACGTTACTTTTGTAGGAGACTCCCAAGGCCCCGAATACGGCTGAGAAGTAATACTCTGCAGACTCATAGTAATACTCTGCAGACTCATCTAGTAAATGTGAAAAGCAAGAGCAAGTCCCATGTTGCTGAATACGAACCTAACAAAGTAAACCAAAAAAAATGCACGTTTTATTAGATGTGATGAAGTATTTTAGGCAGGAGTTGTTCGTGGAAAGATTTTTGTCCGTGACTGTGACTTAAGGTTCGGTGATAATCAGATTTCAATTGAGGGAAAAGTCGTAGTATTCATAGGTTGACGAAAACACTCCTTTCCAGGATTGTTACTTCTACGCTCAAATCATTCTTCTTTTCCATCGCCCAACAAAAATCTTTCCAAGTTGAAAATATCCACCTACAAACTAGAGTTTGCTCATAAGTAACACGTCTTATCGTGTAACTTAGTGCAAACTGTTCGCCTTTTTCCTTACTTTTGATCACATTCTTCCGCGGAAAATGATTGACCGTATCTGAAGCAATCAGTGAGTGATTAACAAAAACAAAATCCATAATGAAACCACTAAAACTGCTTGTTACTATTTCTTGTGATTTTTCCATGTCTCACATGTCAAATTATAATGGACCTGCTCGCCACTTCCTGATCACGATATTATTTCGTATAATTTTTCATTAATGAATCTTAATGTTCTCAGTAATTCGGCAACCCTCAGTAAGATTACTCACCGCGGAAAGCCTATGATTGTAATATGACTTGTGGCTAGATACGACTACCTATTATTATTCGTTTATACAAAACCTTCAGGTGTGTCAATTATGTCACTAATTCATTAAAAAGCTAGTTTCAAGCCCTGATGGAAATAAAAACATTAAAGAAAAAAAATTGTATAAGAACACTTACCCTCAAATTTCCGCTATTCTTTTTGTATGAAAACCTTGATAACACACCATTAGATTTTGTAACTCTTGCAGCAGGTCCACGAACTTGCACCTTAAGCACTTGCGAGCCATTGACATCTTCAATTTTGACAGTGTAGGTTTTCGATTTTGGGAGACCTTCAACTTCCAACATGGTTAAATCTACGGTGAGGTCAAATGCTCCGTGCAAACTGTAATCAATGGATTCTTTCTGCGTACCAAGAGGAGGCTCTCCGCGAAACATGGCTCCATTTAGTGCAAATATCTGGCCCAGGTTTTTCCATTTCTCTCGTGTTACTGTTTCAGACTTGCAAAGTTGTGAGCCTGGCCGTCGGTCGTTCACTGAATCATTGTGATTGAATACTTTACCTAGGATTTCCGTGGTGTCTTGTGTGTAGATTAATGGATTAAGCTGATGTGTGTGCCAAATAAGGTCAAAGTCATAGCACGGTACAAAAAACAATTCTGGATTTTTTTGCTTCAGATAAAGATGCAATTTATACCTCTTCACTGCTTCGGTCAAAAATCTCTTGTCCGCAAAATGAGGTAAGGACACCTGATAATTAAAATCCCTCTGTCGAGCACAAGCAGCCTCGATGTCATACTCAATTCTTGATCGGAAATCTGGCACGTCGCAAACAAGGGCTGTCAGGTCTACTTCAAAAGGTTCTTCAGGATACAGCTTTTCCCATAGGG